TTTTCATCTGATCAGCATTTAATCAATCAACTGGCTTGCCTCTTAGCCGGGTGGCTGCTGCAGCTGTGAGAACCCCAGGAGGTCCCTGTAACCTTTTCCATTGGTAGTTTGGGCTCCCAGGGGATTCATGCCTCCGGGTTTTATGTTCAGCTTTCACAGGTTTCTTTGAAATGAAAATAAACAAACAAACCTTGACTGAAATTGCCAAATCCTACTGAGTTCCCAAACAAACCCATGAACGGACCCAGCTTCGCTCAGGTTTGTTGTCCTTGGTGAATGTGGACCACGCTGGAGGTGCTTCAATAAAGGCACAATGGGCCCAAGCTGCAGAAGTTGGAACCAGATTTCAAATGGTTTGAAATTCGGGATTGGTAAGATCAGTGGTGTTGATCGGGCCATTTGTGAAATTTGGATCCATCCTGCCATGACTTAAGCCTGTTTTATACTACATGCATGACTGGTCCAATTAAATCAATGGAGACTACTCAAGGGGTAAATCAAGCATCTAAGCAAATATTTTCAGGATTGTAATCCCTGCCCTCTAGTGCCAAAATTGTTAGGAGCCAGACTTTTGGTGTGGGATCATTCTTCTGAAAGTTGTGCCTGCCTGTAATTGTAACCCCATTAAGCTATAATGTGTGAAAACATAAAATCTTATCCTCTGTATTTCCTTAACCATCCTGATTAATTGCCTTTCACCCCTGCGCAAACAGATTAGAATACAGTCATTAATTATGTGATCAAACATGAATGTTCAGTTAATCTAATGAGATATACATGTAATTGTCTATTTTTTCAGCAGTTCGAGACACACACAGAGCAGGTCTCTGATTATTGTATGCATATAGCAGAAAAAAGAGTGCAGGAAACCCCCCTGATGAGAGAAGCACACAGAAGAAGATATTGAAGCAGTATACTGTGGCGGGAGTAGTGAAAAGCATCACGGCTTGGAAGTGTTAGAAGGGGAGAACTGCATCACTTTGGGAGCTCTGACCAACGCTCTGGATTGTCTCTAGCTCGCATGGAAAATAATGTTATGGTGTCTCGTAGATTCAGCGAGCTGATGGACTGGGCAAGGGAGGGGCCTGGCGCTGCACTCCTGGAAGGGCATGGCCTTGGGTGGAAGGAGCATGGCCGGGGAAGTTGGCCTTCAGTGCCACCAGAACTGTGGTGCTCCCCCGCCCAGCGCTGGCTGGAGCATGGGCTCTGCAGCGCTCCGTGTGGCTCTGGCAGTGATTTATAGGCCACAATAGTGGCAGTGGCCAAGAGCTCTGGGCCCCTTTGAATCGCTGGGGCCCAGGGCAGTTGCCCCCTCAGCAGGCCTGGAAGCAAGATCAGGTACATCACAAACCCAGATTTGTTTCCATCTAGTCCCAGGGTCGCCAATGCACAGCATGTGAGCGCCGATTTTGAGTGGCTCCTCTGGCCGTTGGGGCCAGGACTGCACAGTGGCAGTGGCTGCTCAA